CAGATAGATGGACAGACAAGGAGATCAACAGACAGAGCTACAGATAGATGGAAAGACAGGAAAATCAACAGACAAAGCTACAGACAGATGGACATGAAAAAGAGAGGCTAATTGAGATAGAGGTGTTGGAGTGGCTCAGGTTAAAGCAAATAGGGAAAGAACAGTAAGTTAAATTGCCTAATGCACACTTTGCCCAGAGTGAGAAAATTAAGAATATTTTACAATATACTAATCTACAAATTACGGACTTGATTAGCAGCTGGCGTGGCCTTTCAGCCAAATGATGGTGTGCTAGATATGAGGTGGAGGACAGCCGTCTCGGTAATGTATATGTGCAGCTATGGTGGCCCAGTGACCCACATACTGTCGATCCTCTTGTAATAAAAACCATCCAGGGGACGTTGTAGTCTTTTCACTGAGCAAATCTAAAGATGCACTGCACGATAAGCTGAGCCTTTACATAGATAACTGCCCATGAACTTTAAAACACTGCAGATCAGTTACAGTAAGTGAAATGGGTAAGTGTGTCATTTGTATTATTTTACAATAATATAGATTAAAACATGTAGCAGTTGAGTTTTTCCAAAAGTAGACAGTTGACCCAAGGATGTCCCTTCAGTTTCCACTTTCCACATGTGTACGGTAAGAGATTCAGGGGTTAACTAACCTGGATGGTGGTGTTTCCACCCTCCAGCAATGCAATAGCCAGGAGGATGCTTTCTTGGAAAACTCGGTCACTAGTGGTGTTCATGATGAGGTCAATGACCAGGTCAGAGGCTCCCTCTTTGTCCAAGTGACACTGTACCTCCGACAGGCTCATTTCCGCACGACTCAGCCCCCCAGGACCCCCTAATGCTGCAGAGACGAGAGAGACAGGCCAGATCAGAATCACATGCATCAGGTATACGGTTTATGGTATTAATACTTTCCAATCATTGGCCATTCACATCATGTATCAAATATAGTTCCATAAGAAACGCCCTGCATTTAAAACAGGAGCTAAAATTTTAATTGTAACTTCAGTCATTTGCAGGTATATTCAAAACATGCCCATACGATAATCCTGAGTGAGACACAGGATGTTTTCATGTTTTTAACAACCCAACGGTACAATGAAGGGGGGAAAAAAATCACCTTGCTCTTACAGTAGTTGCTGCCATCTTACTTTTCAATATCTGCAAATGCAGAGGCCTGATACATTTTATCTACATCTTATTAATAATAATAATAATAATAATAATAATAATAATAATAATAAATCAATTTTCTATAGCGCTTTTCTAGATACTCAGACACTTTACAAGGCAAAAAAAAAAAAAAAAAAAAAAAACTACATCTACATATTTTATCAATGTTTTAGCTTGCTAAAAGAGGAAAAAGGCAGCACTCCTTTAATCATACAATAAATGGATCCAGGTTAACGTATGGGACAGATTGTTTTGGCACATGCAAAGTCCAAAATCATTTACTTAAAATAGGCCAGATTTCTAACTGTGATGCTAGCCCTGTGCTAATTTGTGTAACTGCACATTTCCCCTCCGAGGCCTCATCTTCAGGCTACATATGGAATTGTCAGCCTGGCTCTTGTTTCTGCAACAGGTGCAAAGGCTGTTTTCACGGGAAGTAGCAGACTGTCACCTAGCAACAGTCAAAAGTGGATCATTCAAGGGGAGGGGTATATTTCCTGTGATCAGTTTTCCAACATCTTGGTGCACATGGGAGAGATGGTGAACCGGCAACCATTAGGGATTTTCTGTGTCTTTTGAGTTTAGTTAAAAATACAATATCTGGCTCATTCATCCCAACTGGATGTTACGCGTTCTATTCATACAATATGGTGTCACACCCACGTTACACTGAATGTGAAAACGCTGCATCTTGCGCCACAGCAGACAACAAGCCGTTCTGGTTACGAGGTTAATGTGGCAGCACTGAATTTACATTAAAAAACCCTCACAGCTCATAACCATTGGCACCAACATGTCCTCCAAAATCTACATGCAGATAAAATGTGACATCATACATATCAGAACGAAACACTCAAATAGGAGAAACACTGCACAAAGAATCAGTATTTTGACTGCAGATATAGTTACACAATGACCCCGTTATCAGGCAGTGATAAGAGTGAGGTGCTCTGCGTGCTCAAAGGGCAGCTCACCGTGCAACTCTGGAGCCGATACCCGGCTCGGGGCCAGACAGATGGAGTCCCATCCTAATATAACATTATTGAGAGAACATTGCTTTACTATGACTTTAGGGGCAGAACACATTTTGGCAACCCAAAAAAGGTTTATCTAGACTGCCCCCTGATAGCAGTTGCAGCCATTACTGGCAGCAAAGTCATGCATCTCTTTGGCAGAGGCCTTCGGTTAATGCTTCACAGAAACATCAGCTCAATTACAGATGTTGAAATCAGTGTTTTTGTGGCCATGTGTGCGCTACACAACTACACTACACTCATTTCTTTCTGCTGTTAAGAATTAACAATCAACTTCTGTCCTCGGTATCAAAAGCTGAGCAACAGCTGTCCCACCTGATTGATTTTTGCCGGGTCCTACTGGACTGAGGGGGCCATTGCTAAATGACGTCAGGCTGTCCCTCCTCCCACCACTTCGATAAAAGTTGCCATAGTAACGATTCACCAGAATCTGTCTCAGTGCCTCGCCCTACGAGAGGGAAAGAAAGGGAAGGATGTAATGACGTGAAGTCAGCAACAGGGAGAGAGATGTTGTATAACAGGGATAACATGCATCATCATTTTAGAAGCACATAAAGACACCGAAACAGACACCCAGAAAATGACAACGACCGTGCTCTTGTAACACACAGTTATGGAGAAACCGTCAACATTTCATTTAAATATTGAATTAAAAGAATTGCCACATTTCTATGCAAGCAAAACTTGCAGACACAACCTGAAGTTTACGTCATTCGCCGCCCACACAGACACGTTTCACAGCAGCAGCGGTGACCCTATGCAGTTAGAGCGCGAGGTCCGTGGTGTTCACCGAGACAGACCTGGGTCCAGCCCTCCCACACTGTGACTCATCCACTGGTGAGCCGGCAGCAGCACGACTTTGTCGTTGTTATGGCAACCGCAGCCCATAGCTACCTGCCAGACCTCTCGTGGGATAAAGTGAAGGAAATGAGAGAGAGGTTTTTTTTTTTTGTTCAAATCACTGTCAACTGTGGGTGGTCCGTGATAGACGACAGCAGCGTTATGAAAGCTCCGTTGCCACAGTTATGCTCTGGAGTTATGTATAGGTAGTAGGTGTGAAGGACGTTATAATAACTATTACATAATTTTATTAGTTAGTCAACTGAATGTATTGTGTGTACCACATGGTATGATCAGCTGGAGTCAGAAGGTGATTCCCTGGTCTCACTGGAGAATACTACTCTTTCACTGAAGTCTTAAGACCCAAATCCTTATGGTGTCCTGTCATCTAAAATGTTGGCACAAACCGGGCCTGTATCTAGAATGAACAATTTACTGAAACCAGCAAACTAACTTTGAATCATATTGCCTTTGTGAACTTGTTGAAAAAGTTGGTGAGTAATAATAAAAAAGAAGCATTTTAGATATATGGTAATTACTACCGTCCTGAAACAAATGCAGGGCTGTGATAATATGAGAACTGAATTTTATTAACAGCTGAACAGCCGTTGGACATACCTGCTTGCTAAATAATCTTCTTCTCTTGGAGATGATGATTATATATTGATTAACTCCAATCAATATTGCTAATCTGGAATATCAATATTAGAGCTTGCCTCTTTAATGGAAATACCTGACGCTTTGTGGAGTCCCTGCGTTTAACTAAACACCATTAGATAAAAGAGGCTGTGTTCTTTTTCTTCCTTCAGGTAAACAGTAGTTAGGTGGTTTGGTGTCACTTAAAGCAGGGAATGGGAGTGATTAGAAACACAAAAAGCAGGGGGGAAAAGGCACAAAAAGGTCATTTTAAAAACTTGATATCTCACTCTGAATCTCAGAAGTATTGAGGTTTTAAGTTAAGCTGCCATGCTGTTGCAAGTACCTACCCTCTTCTGGTCCTCCAACAACTTCTCAGGCTGGTTCTGATCCAGCTGCTGGGTGCAGTGAGGAGTGTGAGCACAGTGGTCCAACAGATACAAACACAGGGTTAGTATTCATGCAGGCAATTGTCAGGTGAACAACCAACTCGTGAGCCTTTTTAACTGCTTTAAAAGTGGCAATGCAAAGGTCTGCTCGGTGTGAAATGTCATGCATTTACTGCAATGTTAGGAACCAGAGAAGCATTGTGGTTGTGGTGGTTTTAGACGGGGAAGACAGGAGACATGTACAATGTTGATGATTAATACCATGTTAAGACATGTCCAGTGTGATTTGATTTATTTTCTTGTGTTTTTTCTTAATTTTAGTTAATTATTAATTTTCAAATTGCTGTCTCAGAGTGAGTTTGGGAAATATACTTATTTGCGGTTATTCGGTTGGCTTAGCTTAACAAAAATACTGGAAATGGGGAGTAACAGCTAGCCTGGCTCTGCCAAAAGAAACCAGAATTTCTAAAGTTCCCCGATTAACATCTCTAAATTTCTTCAATCCTTACGAACACTGAAATGTAAAAATGATAAATGTGGGGTTTTTTTCGTAGCCGGTCACAGCGACTCCCTGGAATCTCTGCAGTCACGATGGCGATAAGACTCCAGGAAGTCAACAAAGATAATAAGCTTATTTCCCAAAATGTCAAACTTTTCTTTTAATATTTCAGGAAAACTGAGGAAAAAGCTGAAATCAAACTGGAACAGTCACTTGAAGTCAGGAATGAGTAAACACCAGGTGGAAGGTTCTTGTTTTAAGCAAAACGAAAAGCACAATAATCAAAGCAGGACCCCTGAGATCTGGTGTTTTCCCTTTTCTTTCCTTAATGGTTCACGCAAACAATAGGAATTCAGGTTCGACACCGTGTTGCAGTATCCAATTTCACTGCATCTATGCACAGTGATCACCAAGAGTAAAAGGAAACTGGTAAAAGGCAATGTTCTACATAAATTGTTATGGAAAAGGACACACTAGGAGGGACGGGCGAGAGGAGAGGATTGGCGAGGGGCGATGGGGTTAGAGTTATATAATCACACCAAAAGGAACCAGGTCATTAAACCAGTGACACAGAGCTGCTTACAGTGGCCATCTGTCACCAAAAACACAGAGGGCAAGTGGCAGAGCAAGTGAAAGACAGAGAGGGTGAGAGAGAGAATAACAAACACAGTAGGATTAAATAACTTTGACAGTTGACTAGTCTCTCTCTGTCAGTCAGGGTCACAGGCATGATATACAGTACTGAATGGATGCATATTCAGAGGGCGGTTACTGTTGCTTCTGTATGCACCAGATATGATAAATTCCCTTTATCTATATCACTTTTTGGATGTGTGAACTTGAGCCAAGTCAGTCAGACTCAAGTCACATAACCAGCTGATCCCTCACCAATTGGTTTCCCTAGACAAGATTCCACCACCAATCACACTCACACTGAAACTGCATTGCTTTGCCTTTGGGATTAAGATATACCGATGAAGCTGTATTTCTCAAAATGATGTAGTAAGAAATTCTGCAAACACCTGAAAAGTCTTTCCAACTACTGAATTTAAGGTGGGAGTAACTGGCATTAACTCTAGATATTTATTTGCTATTAGGGTGATGCTGCGGGCAACCCAGAAAATAGGGCCTATTTAATAGGCTACATAGTTATGTTGATGTGGGCTTTTTTGTAATATTTCAAAATAATAGTATGAAAATATCATTAGTGATAAGTACAAAAAGATGAAAACTTTTATCTTTCCTCATTTAGGGCGCCCCTATGGATGGATGACGCCACAGGCATTCTTCTTTACCACCTATGCCAAGGGACGACTCTGCACATATCTGATGCATCCATAAAATTAACAAAACTTCCCTTGGAATCTAGTCTTTTCACTTAACCTGACATGTTAACTTCCCCTAGACCACATATATTTTTTTAAAAAGCTGTAACTGGACATTCAGTGAGGCCGTTGAACAGAAAGGAACCATAAGGCTCACCCTAACTGGTGTCTAAAAACACCCCTCGCTCGAACAACTGACAGCCATGCTTGATAGTTGAATAAGTTACTCCGTGAACTATCAAAAAACAACATAAAAAGGGTCTAACAATGGCAGCACATGCGAACAACAGGTTCCTCAAACAGTACAGTCAAAAGCTGCAGTACATGCTGGGCCTTACTTATTGTTTATAGCTGTCCTGAGAAAAGACATATTTGCAGAATCCCCTGCTCGAAAACCACAGCTTCCACAGCCCCCAGCCCGACAAAGAACATCTTCAAAAGCGTAGTGAGACAGATCGAGAATGTGAAAGTGACAGACAGTCACAGTGTGAAAGAAGAAAGGGAAAACGCAGAGTAGACTATCATAAACACTTTAGAATACTCAATATTCAAATGACATTTCAGCACATATAAAAGCTACACTTTTAAGTTGACCATGGAGCTTTTTTATTTCTTATATCACTCATAATATCCAATATTTCCAGTACTTTTGTTGACGAGCAAAACTCGTCAGCTTTGTATTTGACCTGAGACATGACTTGGATTTTTTTGTGTCAGGACTTCAAACTCACTTTTGACAAGCACAACAATTGCTTTGATCCTGCCTAAAGACAACTGGGTGGGGCAGAGTTCAGCAGCAGGTCAGGGGGCCAGATACCTGAAGAGCAACATCTTATGTCCTCACTGTCACAACTTCAAAACACAAAGAACTATGCTAATCAGAGCACGTAGGTGCAACTAATCATCCCCGGACTGACCACAGACACCACAGGGCAACCCCTCACAGCTGCCACATCCGTCTTAACTATAGTGCATTCCACCAAACTGGAAACTCCCCAGGGCAAACCCCTGATCAGTCTCACACCTCACAGTTTGAAAATATGTGCACACACACTTCTACTTTTTGTTTAGGTGTTTTTACTGAGAGTGCGTAAATAAATATGTTTTGTTTTTTTATGAGAGTGAGTCGTGTTTAAACCAATGATGAATGCCACGAACGCCGGGGATTACCACTCGGCTGCTTGTTATGCGCAGACAGTAAAGCAGAGTAAATTAAAAGACTGCCTCATAATTTACATTGCAACTGATCGATATCTACACCAGCGCCGTGAAATTATTTTCTGTCTTGACCAGATTGGGGGGGGGGGAGATAAAAGTGAGCCAGTCTTAAAATCGAAAAGATTTTTCTTCTTATTTCATCCATCGACAAGCTTGCCAAGGGCCGAGGCAAGGAGGTGGAAGGGATGAAACATGACTTAATAACAACATGGAGGGCTTGCATAACTGCTTTTACTATAGACTGACCACACACACACACACACACACACACACACACACACACACACACACACACACACACACACACACACACACACACACACACACAGGTGAAGAGGGGAGTCAGCACTGTGTATCATGAACTCTCGTCTTGCATAACTCCGACAGCCAAAGAGCAACAAATTTAGCTGATATTCACCTCCCTGACATTTAGCAACGCATTGGGGAGGTCAAAAATGCATCTCATGCTATCTCTATTTTTTTTTTTTTTTTTTAAAAGCATTGTGACCCCAACAATTTCACTATCAATCATATATTATCATGCTATACTGCTATACCGCTTTACTCAAAAGGGTGACAGAAGAGACAACAGCCAGCTACGCACATTCATATCACACCTACATAAACGCTCACAGCCAACCCTATGAAGTTTACACAGTGTGGGTGTGTGTTTGCATCCATGTGACTAAGGTTGTGAATGAAAGCGGGGAGTATACATTTGGAGTAGTTGATCAATTGTGTCACAATGATTTAGCGGGGGGGCCAAAAAGGGGAAAAAGAGAAGAGAAATATGAAGATTGGGACATGGGGTGGGGAGAGGAGCAGGTTTCAAATCAACTGACACTCTTTTCATGTGTGGACAGACGGAGATACATCATTTAACAGGTGTGTGTAGGGATCATCTCTCTCTCACAATCCCCCACCCCACCCCCATGATTGCAACTGGCATTCACACACACACACACACACACACGCACACACACACACGTAGTGTGGGTAAACAGCTCCTCCACACTTTTATTGGCAATTACAGCTGAAGGTCACACATCAGCAGAGGGGCTGGGTTCCAGGAAAAAAAAAAAAAGCCCGGTTCTTATGTAACCTCAGCCCAGAGTTGGCTGGGGCCCAGGAATCGTGCAGCTCTCAGGGCAAAGGAAAACTAGGACACAGCCTCGATGACTGCCACAGCTCCTCACACTCATGCACATACACAGCACGCACAGTCACAGTGCCTCCCATTGGCACCTAAGGGAGGTGCAGGGGAAACGCTCTTCAAAAAGCTGAGCATTGTCAAGACATACAAAACTATGATGACCTCACCTTTTTGTAAAAAACAGACACCAACAGTTTTTCCTCAAATTTTGGAAACATATATGGAACATCCCATTATGTATTATTGAGTCTCTATTATTGTCTCTTATTTTTCTTTATATGCCTTTATCTCTTTTTTCACATTTGTTATCTGTTTTCATGCTGTGTGTAAAATAAAAGGGCCTCAGTATTAAACTGGAATTGATGTTAAAATATACAGTAAATATGTCCCAAGTTGACTTTTACTTGATGTGGCGCTGACAGCGGCAGAAAGTAGGGCACGTAAATGCAGCACTGGCAGTTTTCCTAGACAGTGAGTGACTCACCTTGGAAGCTGGAATAATACAACTCTGTTGAGCAACATGCAGTCAGCCACAGCGCACATCTCCCCATCTCTCTCTTCCCCTTTCTCACAGTTTTCAGTTGATCTACACACTCACTGGTTTATGGCAGGAATCAACGTACCACTATTTGTTACCAGCTGTGCCTAGAGCCTCCACCACCTACAACACACAGCCACCAGCTGCTACAGGACTATTGAATAACAACTACTAGTAGTACACAGAAAGCAGCTCAAGGAAACAAGAGCACGAGTAGAAGAAAAAGAGAAACAACCTTAGGCATATCCATCTCATCATCAAAGGCCCTGAGCTGAAAGAGAACAGAGGGTTTAAGGGGTTAGATAACAACACAGGCAGAAGGAAGCTAAAGCAGAGCTCATTGATACAGCATGACATGTAAGACATACGAGTTAAAATTGTGGATATTAGCCACAGTGAGCAGAATTGGTGAAGTGTCATACAGTGGTGAGTGCAGTGAGTAAGTGACCAGTCCTGCCTTACTGACTACAGAGGTGACTGTGACAGGAAGAACAAGCCAATTCCCTTCAAAATAAGGGTACTCACTGGGTGCGTGGCACAGTGATGCAGTAAAATGATATTCAACTACACCTACATGGATACATAATTTAGTCACATAACATATTGCATAGATCTCATATTGCTGTTTTGATGTGAAACCTTGCAACTCAATCTTTGATCATGTGTTTCTTCCATTTATAGTTCCTGCAAAGTTAATATCTATCTCTGATCAGAAATCCAATGTATGCCCCAGCTTCAAACCCCCCCCACCCAAAACAATCAAACCGGCAATATATTTTCTACAACTGTATTAATGCATTTCGTACAGCACAATATACAGTAAATGCACACTTATACGGTGCACATGAGGTGCATCACCCCACCATGTCTGCGATTTGCAGCTTCTCCTACCTTCTCTCCATAACCACGGTCTTTTGTCATCATCTCTCGCAGCGTTTGCAGAACTTTGATGCACAGTCTCTCCTCGTTTTCCTCCAGCAGCTGCTTGGTATGTTTGATCAGCCTGCACGAGCACATTACTTCATAAGTCTAATTCATAATGAGAACACTTACTCATATGCCAATAATAGACATACTTTGCTGAAGAAGATATTTACAGTACTTACTTGCATATGAAACCTCCGCTCTCACACTTCTTACGCGAGTCGGTGTTTTCGGGGAAGAGCAGCTCGGGCCGATGCAGCACGTCCACCAGAACTGACAACTCAGCCTGGACCAACGGCCGCAGACGGTCCTCGAGAGCTGACACAATGTCCTACAGTGCAGAAATAGACACGTCCTTACTACTTGAACAATTTGACACACATCAGTAAGCGCAAATGCTCACAAACACTGCACCTGCAGCCTCTCAATGATGTTCCTGTAGTCCCGTGAAGCGGTCACCACAGAGTCCCTGCGGGCAGCATTGCGAGCAGAAAGTCTCCAGCTCATGGCTGTCTTCTGGACAATGTTGTTGGATTTCACAAACAGGTTGTTCACCTGGTTGTCCAGGTCCACAGGAATGGCTATTGCTCTGCCTTTCGCTGGCGGGGTACACACAGAGATGCACACAATTAGTGTGTGAAGATAAATCAGATCCAGTAAACTTTGTGCTAAAAAACTCTCTCCTTAAATGTGATAAATAAGCATGATTCAAAAAACCAACTGTAGATGATGGACTGATCGAGACATTCAAAGTAAGGGCTTGTGAGAGAGGAGTCGACTTAAGTGAGAAGGATCTTGATCTTACCAACATCAGAGAGCACCTTGATGCAGTTCTCAACAGAGCCCTTCTGGACTGGGACCAACCAGTTACAATGGTAGACCCTGAATACTGCCTGCAGCAGCTGCACAAAGACTGGCTGCCTGGTCTGAGAAGAAGACGCAAGAAAAAAAGCGTTTGAGCATGTATATTAGCATATGCATCTATCTGGACTGTCGGCTCTAGTCTGTAAAGAAAGAAACAGGTCCCTCGACAACATGCAAGATATGCATCTGTCATTTACAGTGCAGCACCAACAATCTGGACCAGCAGCTTTGTCTTTTAACAAAACAAACATACACCTCTCCACACAGTGATGTAGATTAGCTTGTGTGACAGCACACGTAGTCAGAACAGCATGCTGACTCAGTGGTGGTTTGTTACGTTAACAGGAGACCCCGAGCAGACACACACCTAAAATTAATTAATTAGTTCCCTCTCAAAATACTCACACATACAAAAATACAGAATTTTCTCTCACACCCAACAATAATCTGAAACACCCAACTCCGTGTTTTATCCGCTGAATTGAACAAATACCTGAAATATTTTCCCCAACAGAGAGGCCTGCAGCAGAGGATACAAGCAGTGAAGACATAAAACAGCTCGGATGCGTCGCAAACATACTTCCAAATACATTACCATACATTTCAGAGACAGCTGACATTACTGGAGACGTGTTAAACACTCTATAATAAAAAGCTTTAAATCATAAAACAATGTGATGTTTGTAAAAAGTGTAAGATGATAGTCCAAACATTTTTCTTTTGTAATTGCATCAGAGTTGACCAAAAAGGACTACCATTATTTTACCGACCACAAAGTTATTCATAAAGCACTGAAAATATATATTTTGTGAATTAAAAACAATTTCTATGAAACTATGACAGGTTGCTTAAATGGAAAAAGGGAGCACTTTGTATGCATGTTCAAAAGGAAATGATTAATCAGCACAACAGGATGCTAACAACCACAATCACGACTAACTGGTCTTAACTTTGTAATGTCTGATTAGCTCTTCAGGATCATGACTAATATTACTCTTATGAACACAAACGAATGGGAAGAGAAGGAGAACATCCATTCTCCTTCAACACTCGCAATTATGTTAATCAGATGAAAAATTATTCTGAGAAACTCCACGGAAGCATTGATTTGACCACTTAAGGAAGCACTTAACGTGAAAACACTGCAGCGTTAGTTATCTTAAAGTTAGACTTTTGAATGAGGGGGTTTCTCTGGTGAGTCATTCCATTTGTTTATAATTATATGGGGTACCTAATAGATATTTGTACTTACATTATTTCTGATGGACACCTACAGCATGACACACAGTGTGTACAGTGAGGTTAGCAGCTATTTGCATGTAGATATTAAGAGACAGGAACCCCTGAATCTCGACTATCTATCACATGCTACCCCGCCCACTGCACTTTCTCTCAAGATTATCTATTAACAGATTGATGGTCAGGATGTGGCCCTTTAAAAGTACATGTATAAGAGAAAAATGACCTTTTAACAAGACAGTGCACTGGACATTTCAGACATGCTGTATGATTCTGAGATCATGACAAGTCTATAGTTCATAGCAACAGGTTCACATTACACCTGCAATCGTCAACGTGCATTGAATGCAACTCTGCATGTGTGACTGACACTCAAACTACAGCAAATTGATACTGGATTCATTTTCAGCACTTTTCAGCCATTGTATACGCTTTTTTTCTTGGTGTTTACACACCTGCAGGCTGGTGCTCTGGTCAGAGAAAGGTGAGCTGAAGAAAGTCGTTACGATGCTCATGACCGTCTCCGTCACATATCGCTCCAGAATGATGTCTGCATGCTTACGGTCGCTTGTATTGTTGCACACCTGTAAACATTAAAAGAATTACATAATTGCTTGTATTTTACCAATCCTCATTCCCTAAGTGACATAAAAAGTTGCCGTAGAGCCTCCCGGTGTTGCTTACTCTACAAATGTCAACTAGGAAGTTCTCAAAGAGTTTCCACATGTGGTTAGAGGTGTAGATCTCCTTCATTTCCACCTCGGTGTCCACATAGCAGTGGTTCAGGAAGTTGATATAGGCGATCTTCACCTGAGAGATTAGATATTAGAATAATTAAAAGCATGAAATATAGATGCATTGAGAATTGTTTTGTAAGCCTCTGTATAAAAGAGTGCTTCCTGCATCTGCTCCATAACTGGCTTGTTGTTTTCTCATACAATTGTTGTCAAAGTCTCAGCATGGCTCAGTCTGAGGCTAATCTCACCTCGGGGATGCAGTCCTCGTGGGTCACCACGCGCACTATGTCATCCAGTGGTAACAGGCTGTTACACTTGATCTCTGTGTAGACGTTCTTGCCCTCAGTGCAAACAGCCAACAGCTCCACCAAGTGTATGTGGTACATCAGCGGACTGTTCTCATCCATGCGGTCCCGCTCTGATCGCATCATCTGGACCAGTGTCTGGAAGGAGGCGCGGTCATTATAGAAGACCAGAACATCTTCGCCAGCATTCACCAGCTGTACGAAGGAACCAATATACACGATTACGTCAGTACATCAGGAGACATAGCAGTAGCATAGTTCAAACATTAAAAAGGAGATTAACAAGGCATGACCTCTGCCATGACGATGTCCTGACACTTTTTGATGAATTTATTTTCCGCTTTGACAATCGTCTGAAGGAACTTGAGGTACTGGACATTGCGTCCATGTGTTTCGATGCAGTGGACAAAGTGCTGAACCACACGCTCATTGATCTCACTGCACAGCTGGAAGTTGTTCATGAAGATATGCTGCATGGTGATGGCTTCTAAAATCTGAACAAAAGAAGACAAAAAGTGAGAGGAGCACCAGAACACAATAATGGTGTTTAAATAGTAACACTGTGGATATCAAGTGGTGCGTCGTCTTGTTAGGACTGCTCACCCCTGGGTTGAGGAAAAGATTGATGTGCTTGTGCAGCAGGGCTTGGTTCTGCTGGTTTCCTGCACAGAAATTCTGTAGGAACTGGTGGGCTAGCTTCATGATATCCTGCATACGCAAATCTTCTCCCTGGAGGGGAAATGGCTGACGTGAAGGTTTGTCCACTTTAACGCACGCACAAAAAGCATGCCATTGAACATTTTACTGAGAGTTGATGATTAATACCTTCTCGTAGGGAATCTGTAGCAGCTCAAGGACGACAGCATGCGCCCCCATGTTCCTTAGCAGCCTCTGCTGCTGTTTCTTGCTCTTCCTACCTGACAAACCTTCTTGGACACACAGCCTGCTGAGCCGCAGCAGGATCTTATAAAGAAGGGAAGAAAATGGGAGGGGGTGAGGTATGTGGAAAAATATGTGCAACATAGGCAGATAAGAGGTTGATAACTATACTTATAAGTGGGATAGTTACCTCCTTTACCACCCTGTAGTTGTAACTGCTGGTGCTTTCTGCTTTCTTTGGTTTGTCTGTGCCCCCTGAATCTCCCTACAAGGTTCACCAGAGACAATGCATCAGAGAAAAAGGTCTTACTTCAGTAAAGATAGTTTTGTGGTGAAAGGCTTTGTGTGTGGTTCTTTTGGTGTAAAATATAATGCACCCTTTTATGCTCTTGGTCAGTGGAGAGTCCCTCTCCCCCATCCATGCCCTCGTCTGGCCCCTGCCTCTTGTACACCCAGAGCTCAGACTTCTCTACGATAGAGCGCAACTGGTCCAGGTCTGACTTTATCTGCTTGTAATTTTCCACATCTTGGCTGGTGACCAGCAGCTGGACCTGTGAACACATATATATTACAATATAAAGAACAGAGCAGAAAAACGGCCAGACGATGCTGATCCCACATGCATTTTTGTTTGTAGGCATGCATGTGTCAAAATTGTAAAAACAATAAAATGCACAACAACTTTTAGTTAAAATGGAATGGTTTTAGTTTCTTCCATTGTGAGCTGTAGCTGTAAACTGCATACCTGCTTAAAAGCCTGCAAGACCTCCTGCCTTTGGCTGAAATGCCTAAAGAGCAGGTGGAGGGCTCTGGACACCAGAGGAGGATAGTCATGCATGGTCAAGTGGAGAAGGACCCTCAAGAAGGTACGGCCACCATGATCGTCCAGGTCCAGTGGGGTGTTTTCTTCACTAGACACACACACAGAGCACACACTCAAGTGTAAAAACATCCTCTTTCTTGTATTTTGTGACTTCTCCTTTATTGAAACTGGGATTACCTTCCACCAAATATCCCCTCTGCCTGCTCTTCTATGTTCTCAAAATCCAAAGCTCCTGGAATAAAAAAAAACATATTTGTAAATCAATAAATTTCACTGGCCCCACATTTGTATAATATGCAGCAGCTGATGTTACCCTGACCTGGCATGTTGTTAGGTCCTTCTACTGCTCCAGTTATAGATAATTCACTCTGAGAGTTACTCTCATCAAACTCCCTCTTAAATATAGACAGCAGACAGGAGATCCTGTAGTCCAGGCGGACGTTCAAGATGAACTGCAGGGCAGGACAAAAAGTGTGATGCAAAGTTTCTAGAGCATAGAGGGACTGTGTATGTGTACAGTAATGTGATCTATGCTTGTACATGCCTTTAACTTTAAATTAGGGCTGAAACTAACGATTATTTTCATTGTTGATTATTTTCTTGATTAATAGATTAGTTGTCTGGTCTATAAAATGTCAGAAAATTGTGAAAAGTGTCGATCAGTGTTTCCCAAAGCCCAAGACGAAATCCTCAAATGCCGTCTTTGTCTACAACTCAAAGATATTCAGTTTACTATGATAGAGGAGTAAAGAAACCAGAAAATGTTCACGTGAACGAAGCTGAAAGCAGAGAACTTAAACCGATTACTCAAACCGATTAATCCCTTACGTAAATAGTTAATTTAACAGTTGGCACCTAATCGATTAACAGTCACAGATCCTCACCTGCAGGATCTCAATGATCTTTAGCTTGGTGTCCATGACCAATATATCCTGTTTCTCCGGCTCAGTCTGGGTCTTGACTGTGACTCCATTGGAGCTGGTGTTTGAAGTTGTGGGTAGGAAGCCCCCTCCTCTTAGGACCACTTGGGACATCAGCTCTCCTACACCATGAATGGATCTCATCACATTGCTGCCTGGAAACAAGCACACATTCATCAATACAGACATCAACTCCATGTCCATGAGATATTTGGTCCTCCACCGACCAACCATGATGTTCCTACCTTTACTTTCTTCTTCTTCTTCTTTGTCCATCTTGTTAAAAGGGAAAATTGTGCTCACATGGACGCAGTCTAAAATAGCCAGCAGGATCTTGGTTAGTCTCAGCAGGTCACTGAAGTTGTAGAAGCCAAAATAAATCAGGTTCCTGGCCAGATTCACCACCTAAACATGGACGATAGATCAGTCAAATAGGTTTTTGGGTTTTACCATTAAAATGAGAATAACATGAGTGGGATAAGATATCAAGAATGTGCCAAACTGACCTCAAAGGTCAGCTTGTTCTTCTCTTTATCTGCAAAAGGGAAGCTCTGACACACCACGTCTCTCAAGTAGTTCTCAACAAACTCCATAGTCAGACAGAATCGCTCCTTAATTTCATCTTTAGATGTACCATCATTGTCGTAGCTACAGTAAGACAACAAAAAAAGAATTGGATAAATCTACAATATACTCTACTATGAACAATCTATTACATTTGTTCATTTACTCACTCATCAATGGCAATCTCTGAGGGGATTTCAGACCAGAGTCGAGCGTATTTGACAGGGGTAACCTGCTCCTGAGGATCACGATCTACATGCATGTGCAGCATCATGCGGCAGAAGGAGGCACGCAGATCATAGGGCAGGTCTTCATCTGACATGCATCGCAAGATCAGGTCCACATCCAGCTGGCCAGAGATCTTGTTGATTGCCAGGTACTGGCGGTCCAAACACATCCTGGCAAACAGGTTCAGCTGGTACCTATTGCAGCACAAACACACTGTAATGTAACAACTGACATTTGAAACAGCAAAATGCTTTTTTTATGTTTTACGTTCACCACATTGCTGCCTCTGAGCCGGCTCAATGTTCTCCTTTCTCCCAGACAACCACATAAAAAATAGAACAGTAACTACCTGTAATAACTGATCACGTCCTGGTCCTCCTTCTGGCCCTCCTTGGCATCCTGAGCCAGCTCCCTAATGCTTTTACTGCGGATCTCTTTAATGCGGTCTTTCCAAAACAACCACACCTCCTCCTCATCCTCCTCTGACTCCACAGAGTTCTCCCCAAGCGGCGCTCCCTCGATCTCAAATCTCGACAGTACGAGTCTGCAGGAAAGGGGAATTTGTTTGTTCGTTTAAAGGCTGATGGAAATAAATGAGTAAGCTTCTTTGACAATTTAAAAATAATAACATACAATGACTTCCAATGTAATTACTGTCACCCTCAGAAGCTGTAACAAAAAGGATGCTATAGAGAGGATTCAACTCATTAATATATCAGACTACCGTTTTCATTATTGATTAGTCTTCTTCAAGAACTCAATGATGCCTTCAAATCAGTGCATGTTGGCATTAAGAGGAGAATAGGACAGAAGTATGCAGAGGCAGAGGGGGGGGGGGGGGCTACTCACTTGGTTTCTATGAGGATGTCTGCGTTGGCTGGATCCAGCACTGCGTTACAGATGAGCTCCTGTGTCACAGGGATGGACTTATTCATTGACACACACAAGTCTGACAGGTAGTCCAGGAACCTGGACACACGCACAAGATATGCAAAATTCAATCATCCATGACAAACAACAATTCAAGATCACAATTACATATACATACATATGAATATAAAAGTTATCACCCAATTATAATATTAATGAAATGTATTTTCTCTTTGATTCTGCCTATTTACCCAGTTGATTGTGTTTATACAGACAGACGCGCACACAAACCTTGGCTCACGGTTCTTGCGGACCAGGCTAACAAACGTGTCGATCTCTGCAGCAGTGATGTGTTTCTCCAGCAGCTTGCGGTTATTATGGAGCAGAGCTGTGATTGTGTCCTCAGCCAAGACATCATAGCCAATCTGTTTCTGCATGAAGCGAAACTGTTTGGCGATATACTCCTGCGGAACAGACAGAGACAGCCAGTCTGACTATACACAAACCAAAACAAGACGGAACAGACTCACTGTGAAAAACGTCATTATTAACTTAGCCCCTTTATCTTTATTTCTTTACATTCTCCAGTTGGACCAGGAGACATAACGTTGTTATGTCTATGTCCATTACTTATATTGACTGAGGCCATTTTGGTCCTTGTTCATCTGTGTGCGGGAAGACAGAGCACGTTCACAAGAACCAGGCTGCCTCTTCCTTCAACATAATTAAATTACCCTTCTAACAATTACACTCGAATGTGCTTAAGAGGAATTTATTTTTCTTGGGAATTGGGAATGTTGTATTTCACATTGATAAGCATTTGTTATAGGATGTGCTTGAATCACTGTGTGGCTTTGTGCATTTGTATCACAGACAATTTGATTATGGACATTCAGCTATCTCTGTATAATATCAGAGCTGCTACAGAGCAAAGGCCTCTTTCACTTGCTACTAAACTTAATCAAGGGATTTTGGAAAGCACCTTTGCACAAACTCCAGCAGCACGTAGACCATGTCATACAGTGCTGGGGCTCATAAAACTGATAAACTGTACCTGGTTCTTGCGGTAGTCCTGCTGAGAGTGACGCAAAACACGGTAACACAGACGGCAGATGTGTCTGAAGGGGGCATGACGCTGGTCAGCCAGCTCCTCCAGTCGCAGCATTGGCCCGTCCCCGCTGTCTGTGAATGGAGCCTGCAGTAGCTTGAAGATCTGAATGCGATGATAAGGTTGTTACAAATGTAACCGTACTGAATGAAAACCAAAAAGAAAACATGCCGATACAGATAGTAGGCCTGACAACTGTGCCCCTTTGAGTCATGACAAAGATTTGAGGTTATGTGGAGTTCAGTGAGGTTCAAAGAAGTTTACGTTCAACGGGAAACGTAATCTAAAGAATGTGTTCAAAATGTTACATTCACTGTATGAAGGCTTTACCTGTTTGAGAATATTCTGTTCTCTCATCAGTTTCTGTCGTTCCCTGTTGGGTTTGTTGACCATGATCTCAAGAACATCCTGTCCGTTGTTAGGGATATCCACCACAAAGAACACCAAATCCTCCAGTAGCTTGGTAACGGCTCTGATTGTACATACAAAAGAGAGCGACAGAGCCATTACACACGACTATCTTGTTTCTTGATAGAATATGGCAATCTGGCACCGCTATGCATTTCATACCTCCTCTCATTCTGTGTGATGGTTCCTTTTTCCAGCTTTCCAGCAATAGAGGCTAGCACTTTACTGGCATCGTTGGCAAAGTCAAGGTCTCTCACTTCAGCAGGGGAGACGGGCACGATGGCAAATGCCTCCTTGTCCTCTTTCAGTGCTGAGGTGCCGATCTTGAATCAGAAAATAAATCTACAGCTTTGTCATCAATCGATACGATATATTTTTTTAGTACTTAGAATTGGTCTCTGGGCTCACTTTCGATTCCTTCCGAAATACTCTAGAAACCCATAATGAAAACTACAATTGTACATGTACTGTGAAAAAACGTAATATTTAATTCTGAAACACTTCCATAACTTCACAGCAGGGAAGAAGAGGTTTGCACAGAAGGTATTTCAGCTGACAACAGTTGGTTTAGATTTTTATCACTGGTGATTTGTTAATTAAAAAATGTTCATAAACCCAGACAGAATTTCTCCTTAGCGCAGTTGAGTCAATTGTCAATCACTGTTACATATTCGTGCGAATGAACGGTCACTCACGCGCAGCATGACGGGCTTTTCTTCCTCCTTGTCAATTGGTTGGTTGGTGCTGTGAACCCATGTGTTTGTGCACAGGTGCCTGAGGCGCACATAGGAGTTCCTGAAAAAGCATTTTAATATTTTTTGGTCGATGATAGTTGACAGATGTTTGAAATTACAAGCAGCAACAATATTCTTAGGCATCCCTGAAATTTTTTAATTAAATTTAATTATATTACAATATAAAACAAAAATATTGCTTGGACTCAGGGACCTCATGTTTGAAAAATTAAAAGAAAATACTGCAAAAGTGCCCTCTTGGATGCCCTTAAAAAAAATAAAGTGCCCCCTATGTGGCTAAATGGGCACGAAAACATGATAAAAGTGCCCTTCCACTGGAAAAAAAAAGTGAAGTAGTGCACTAATGGGCGCCATTTAAATCTTTGTTATTTTCACTGTCTGCACAACTCATAAACATGCTGCAAGAAAGGAACACACACATATGGTGAAACTGGGTCTGGCTCATTCACTTTTCATGTTTATATCTGATTAAAGAGACCAAATATTTCTTGCTTTCATTAGTTAGAATAAAATGAAGTTTGTTTGTGCAGTGCATAGTGTTAGAGCATAGCATAAGTTCATTACTGAAGAAAGAGTGTAGCTAGATTGATAGATCAGTCCATCTAAGAGTGAAGCTAAAGTTCATGAGCAATATATCTGTTGTGTTCTGTTGTGTAACTTGCTGTCCTTAAAAAGACTAAATCAATCAATTCCTGACAGTTATGATGAAGACCACTAAATCTTAAATGATCAAATGACATTTAAAAGTTTTCATACAAAAGATAATATGATGGTCTGTAACATTTCCTTCACACGCCTCTTCAGCAGACCGACTGATCACCGAGCAATAAGCCATTCATTATACACAACAAGCACAACAACTTTTAAGTTCTAACAAGACGTGCTCACATGCACACATCGTCGTTTATCATAATTATATTATAATTAATTATATTATAATTATTACTATTATATAATTACAATTATTTATCACTGATGCACCAAAGATCCATCTTTCCCACAAACAAGCCCATCTGTTCACACACAACAAAGGATCATGCTGGAAAATTAGTTTGCCGCAATTTATTAGTGTCAATGTCTTTATCTGCGTAACCACTATGAAAAAGATCTCTACCCGTCAGACCAGCATGATACTGTCTACTGTGAGTGACACTAAGTCACACACTCTCTTACATTAACAAGCATTAACACACACATACTCCTTCCATGGTTTATTGTTCTGCAAATAGAACAAGATGACTGAATCTACAGTGGAAGTCCCCCGACTTATAACGCGCCTGCTTTTGGTTTTCAGTGGAAGAGTGATGCACCAGGGAATGGACCTCCTCTATGTAACACGCGCCTGGGCAGGTCGAAAACACTTCCCCACTTTTACGTTACAGCATTCCTACCTGGGTACCAGTGAGTCTCCTCCTCTTAATGTTGTAGGGTCAAGCTCAAATATGGAAGAGATGTCATTCCCATCCGGTACAGACACAAGGGTGTACATGACTTTGTCCTGGACATGTCTCAAACGGGCTCTTGAGGTGTCTTGCTCCGAGTCCAGCTGAAGGGAAAAGTTAAATAAAAAAGCAAATTATCTATCACATTTGTGTCAAGATCAATAAGAGTGAACCAGTGACAGGGTTCACTACAGTATAACTGAGGATAGATGTCTAGTTCAAAGACCCCTTTTCTCAAAAAAGCACTAATTTCTTCTTCTTTTGTAAGTCAGATAATCAGATAAATGTAGCAGTCGTTATTCAATCAGCCAATAATGGTGGTCAGAAAAGACTTACCTAAATTACATCATCAAATCAGTCAGAGCTTTAAATGTAAATTAAAGGGCCTATTTTATTTTGCTTCGTACCTCCGCCATACTCAGTCATCAGGCCATATTTCAGGTGCTTTGGTTACATTTTTAAGTTGTCTTTTTGTTTGTTTTTTACTGTAAAAGCAAAGCAATAAACTCAGGAGCAGACAGAGTGTGAGATGGTTCAGTTGTCACTGCCTGGCCAGCAGATGTGAAAAGCCTCACGTTGACTGTAACAGCCAACTCAGTGAGCCATGGCAAACAACTAAAACACCAACCAGAAAGATCCATTCACAGTGAAACGCTGTCATCTGCTGGTGACTGAGAAGTAATACGACCTAAAGCTGCAATAATACATTTCAGCCATCTACTGCTGGAAATACTAGTACCACTAGGTAACCAATAATGGACAAACTTGCTGACATATAAATGTTGCCCACTATAAAACACAAGTCTTGGCTCATGGCTCACTTACTGAGGAGCGGTACTCCAGGCACTCCTCTTCATACTCTGGATTCACCTGCAAAAAGACAAAGTGGTTTTCTGTAATATCCAAATATCTTACATTTAATTTGAATCTCTTCTTCCCCGGTCTCAGAGGCTGCTTTGCAGTGACATTGTTTTTTTTTTGTTACTATAAATGCTGCCAAAATTGCAATAGAAATATCTAAAAAACAATCGACAGCATTTGATTTGATGTTACCCGGTTGTAAACACAGTCACACAGTATCTGTGCTCCACTGACCTCAGCAGCCAGGTAGTGTCCAGTAGCCAGGTGTTTGAATCGGAACAGGCTGTTCCAGTAGCCTGCCCCCCCTCGACATGGATCATGCTGTACAACCTGATACCAGAGCAAACAGCAGTAACATCTTACACTCGTGCATAGGGTGACATTTATTTAACAGGTGCTGTGGCCTTAATTACCCAATATGCTGTAAAGTAAATGATGAGAAACATATTAATGGTTTACCTACAAAACTGGAGAAGACCGATTAAAAAAAAAAAAGAAGAATCCAGCAAGGCTTACTTTAAGCTTACTGGTGGCTACGCGTTTATTTTATTTCAACACCATACTGTACATTACAAACCACCAGCTCTGAATATATTCCTCCTCACCTCTATCTCCCAAAGGGCTTTGCTGCTGGTTGCCGAGGTAGCCGACTGCCGTCCAGTAGTGCGAAGAAAAACGTATTGTTTTTTTCTGTGATCATCACAGGTGAGGAATTTCTCCTGCTCTGCATGAAATAACCGTACCACGTCACCCTGGAGAGAGGGAGAACAGTTGTTACTGTCAAAGGTAATCTGCTGAACCTTAAAACCAAATAATTACCCAAAATGTGAAATAAATTATATATCTAATGTTGTGTGCCCGTAGCATGTTTCAAATTCCACAAGATGCATTTCTAGTAATAAACCAGATTCAGTTTACAAAATAATTAAGATCACTGTAGACCTCATCCGGTCAATGTGGGCTGACACCAGTTTAACCATTTCTTATGTTCCAAAAGTGCCCCAAAATTAATTTATTCACAATTTTGTCAAATATTTTGAAGAGACCATTAGTACTACTGTACTGTAGCTGTGGCCATTTTTGGTGTTATAGCTCCTAATGTGGTGTTGTTGAATAACCAACAAAACAAAATCGCATTTGAAAGCACATACTGTACACAAATAATACTGAACTGAAAACAAACAAAGCAACCCGCCCACTCAGCTATGATGAGAGACATTATGCAACACCTCTTGCAAGAAAATGAGAGTATGTAAGTGAGTTTTATAAATGTTGGAAAGAAACATAACCTCTGCTAGTGTTATATTTCCCCTTGTTTTCTCTACATTGTTTTACTTGACTTTTCATTTATTGTACATGTGTTTAAACATCTTTTGTATTCGATATAAATGTGTTTTTTACCACGTTTTTAAAAACATAATAAAAACATTTTTTTGTTTGTAGCTACAAACCCCTTTTAGGATGATCTCTTGGTTGTCGCCCCATTTCATAAACAAGACAATCTTCCAGCTGGTGTTACAGTTGACCGAGTTCACCTGAAAAACAAACAATCAGAGCTCGATGTGACTGCAGGTTTAATCTCCTGGTAGCCTTGCAGCACACAACAACCCTGGCAAAATTAAAAAGGGATAGTTTCGTGTTTGTGGAGTTTTATTTTTTCCTCAGTGCCTGCTGAGACAAAATCATGGATGACTTTTTTTTTTAAAAAAGAGGCTAAGAGCACAAAAAAAAATGGTCAAAAGATTGATACGTTGCCTAATAAAATAAAAAAAGATTGTATATAAAATAAATCCACCTCGACTGTGCCACAGTCAATGCAGCAGAAAGAACAGTTTAAGAACTTTCCCATGTTTGTCTACTTAGAAGTATAATAAGTTGAACATTGAAAAATGTGTAACTTCTTTCCTTTGTTAAATTGCCACTTGATGTCATAAACATCAATGATTTGTGCTTTCATTCCTACATATCTTTAAACTGCTTGTACAACCATTAATACAAAATTTGTGAGCGTGACTCACGCTTGGTAAACAGGAGAAAAATGCACAACTGCTCCAAAACAGACCACACTGTCAGGCACTTTGATAAAATATGTTGTTAGTAGCTGAGAGCAGTTTAGTTGTAAGAGAGAAACAGGACGACCTTTCAAATGGCCCAGTCCTTAACTGTGCTAAATTTAGAAGGCAGGAAAACAATGTCATAGTGTTTCACATCAGACAGCAGCGGCTATGAGAAAAAAAGCTGCGATTAGTTTCTAACACTCCCACAGAAACATCTGAGGGGTGACGAGGAGTTGCAACAGCTCAGCCAAACCTCGTTGCATCCTGGATTATCCACTAGCTGGTGTGTGCTGGCATGGAGCGGCTGACCAGCATTCACTGGGTTAAGGACCACTTTGTCCCCAATCACCACCTGCAATCACACGCAAAAACAGACACAACTAAATACAAATATGTTAATATATAGAGGAATGTACTAAACATTGAATCTGTAATGGTTCAGAGAGCATCAGTATCTATTTGCATGCTACTGTCCCTGTGTCTTTTCTCAGCAGGGATGGAGTGCCTTCAATTTGAGTTTTTGCTGCTGCTTAGGCCTTGTGCCATGCCTAATTTAAGAGGACTTTAGCAGAGAAGTCCGGTCCTGGCTGTGGTTCATTTTGTCCTTGGGCACCAGCCCACTACTTCCTGCTTGAGGGAAGACGAGCTGGTGCCAACAAGAGCTTTGTGATGACATAAACACCAATTGGGTGCTGGCACAGGTCCATCCGGGGATATGTGTGATCAGCGAGAGGCCTCACATTGAGGCTTAGGTAAAGAGGACTTGTGCTCTTGAGGTTTGGACCTTTATTCTGCAGTCTTAACCTTATCATACTAATGTACTGCTGAATATGTAAATGAGCAACTACATTTTAAAAAGAGAAGTGGCCTACTGTTACTATATTTAAAAATGTACACATATTTTAAAATGCAAAATACGTATCATCCCAGGCATGATTCCGTCCTTTGCTTTGCCTGACGTTGGTGACACACAGCATGGTGATTTCCACAATGCACCCCTCCCACAGACTTGTACATATGATGACTCACACTGTCCCCGATGGAGCGTAGTTTGTAGAATGGCTGGATGTAGAACCAGGAGCCCTCATTTCCAGCGGTGTCCAACATCACCCTCATGGCGTTCTTCTCCAACAGCGCAGGCAGACGCTTGTTCACCGTCAGGTATTTGTTGCTCTTCAGGTGGAGGAGCTGAGCAGAAAAAAAAGTCAAGATAACACAAATACAAACAAACAGACATGCAGAAATGTTAGGTAAGAAGTAAGTGCTTCAAACAGTGTACTGACTTGAAGAAAGCAGCTTGCATTTAGGGCACTCGTAGAAACTAACTGCCATAAGTGTTATTTAGTAAACCAATGTCACACAACAGGTAAGATAAATCCAAACAGGGATTGCCTGCAGAACTACACTGAAAGTCACTTTCTTACTCAAAGTTACTCTGCGGAACTTTTAACTGGTTATGAAACAGTCTCAATGTAATACTGCTGCCTCTATATGACCTACATAACTAAACCATCAGTGAGAAGATTGTCTATTTCTTTGTAGTTATTCTTAATGCTTGTCATCGGCACCACCGGGTCGAATTCCAGGCAAAATCAGAAGAAATTATGCATGTTCATCAGGAACTCCTTCAGCTCAGACGCAAGTGCGGCCTCCAGCAGCGTATTGCTGATGGATGATCGTGCTTCCAGTATTCTCTGATCAGGATGCTTTACGGTGTATTTGTATTATTAAAATGAGCGGTTTGGTTATGACGGCAGGAGGTTTCAGCCCCTTTAATTTTCATTGGGACTGTGTCAAAGTTCACAACATTTTAATAATGGAACACGCAATTTATGGTTTTCATTTTTTATTTAAGGGTTAATGTTGGGGGGCACGCTCAACATGGATTAAGGTTGAGGCATATTTCAAATTTAAGATTAAATCACCTCCATGTCCATGTCAGAGCCATCTTAGTTTAATCAAAAACATTGTGGCAGTCTAAACACATGGTATCTCATCTGAATAAATACCAAGAAGATAAAGACCATTTGAGAGGAACAAACCTGAATGACATTCCCGTACTGAATTACTGTTCCAAGCAGCTTTTTGTTTTCAGAGTCATTTTGCTTTTTCTCCAAGTCAGCTGCATGCTGGAACGCAGTGAGATAAAAAGGAATATCAAAAGGATTAATTATCACACCCACTAACTGCAACATTCTTCATTGATAACAGTCATACACAGTGATGTGGTCAGAAGTCATCCGATTGGTTACCAGCTAACAAAAAGTACAAGAATAAGTCAGCCAAAAGTTAGCCAAAAGCACACGTACGTCTCCATGAAAACGCAGGAAAGATTGCGGCCTTTCATTTTATGACTGGGTGGTCAGATAGCAGATTGCTTTAAATGGTATTGTACCGAAGCAGAAAGAGAGAAAGTGGAGTGTAGAGGGCAGAAAGGTAGGACAGTAGGAGTGAAATGACTATAAAAGGACTTTAAGAGCAGCTTATAAAGTTATTATGTATATTTGCTGAGGTAAAATTTTAAACTGTAGTCCAGAGTGAACATTTCTACACATTCACTGTGCAGCTTGGCATTCAGTTACGACCAAATCTACCATTTAAATTTTAAGATCAAATTCTAGACTTCTGAGTCCCGACGACAGGTCAGTGTGTGGTGTTAGTGCACTGGTGTGTAGTGTGACTGAAGGGGG